GCGGAGTCCTCGAACGATTTTTACTTGAGATGATGAAGATATAATCGACCTATTGAATTCCAAATGCTAATCTACACGTGGCGAAAACTAGCTTCTCTTCGTTTTTTCGAGGAATGTCCGACAGAACGGCAAGGAAGTCTAAGTCGCTGTCACCCCAGCAAGTCATCTACCACAAGCTCACTGGATATTTAACTCACATTCACCAAGAATCGCCTTTCACTATGTCATAATTTGTTCGACCAGCATCTAACAATCGTCTGAAGCAGATCGGTGTGCCTATTGATTGCGTCATCGGTCGAATGCCACGCTTCCTACAACAGGCGAAATCCGGTTATTTAATTTGCCCAAGATTCGCACGCAATAAAAAGCATAGTTGTACCCGGGGAGAAGAGGAGTGACCACCCATCAAAGAAAGCGTACTTTTTCGCATCACAACCAGCGTCGTGCGGACCTATTTACTGGTCTCTCTTACAGGATTGGCTTTGTCACCACTGTCAGATTTTTGACAGGTTGGTATTGAATTCTTAGAATGCATGTACACATGCATCCTAAGAACACGGTAAATAGGCATAAAAGCTTACTTCGATTTAAAAATGGAGCAAAGAGAATGCACGTCTTCTAGTGTGGGTGTAATAATTTATGTTGCGTTGAAAGTTCATACTCAAAAACAGTATCACCATATAAAAACACAGACTTATGACAAATTGGGAGGAATTCGCAAGAGTAACTCCTTACACAGAACTTTTAACGTCGCTGACAAACTATGGTGGCATTTTTCTGAGATATTTTATTGTTTGATAAGAGACGGGTTTCTTTCTAGGGGCCTGATGAAAAGATATCAGCATCCACTCTTAGCAGTTGTGAAAGCGCAGCTCCTTATTCAACCAACGAATAAAGGACCTGACATTTGGGATTTCGAATTATTAGGCACTTGAGGACATTATTTATCAGGAAGCATGGGTTTTTAGGAAATCGGCATACAGAACGAAAGTTTTCTGCACTTTTATAGGGCATGTAGAAGGATTTTTCATGCGTATGTATTAGAAGACGAACATCCCAAGCAATATAATTTGAATGAATTGGGTTCTCTGGAACATTCAGACTATTTCTTGGGTGGAATTTGGCAGATTTGAATAATTCAATTGACTCAGTTGTGGCTTCTGCGGGATTCAAACCCACATAAGCAGGACAGACCTCAGTACAGCCGACGCTCTACCAATTGAGCTACGAAGGCACTCCGGGAGCCGTGAAGTTAATGACAATTGGGTCAATTGAATTGGAACTTTATTTTGTAAATTTTCGACACTGGTTCCCACAGCCGCCGTCAAACATGCAGTGTGTAAAAAATGCCTGGAAAAATAGCCATTGCTTTGTCATTCTTAACAATGGGTCGATACTGTGGACTGCTATTCTGTCCTAATTGGTTATCGCCTTACCCATTTTTCATTAAAATTACCGTTCATGGCGTCTAAGTTGATTTATATAACGATGGAAAACCAATTGAAATAATGTGTCTTGTACGTAATGGATTTACGTAGGTGACCTAAAGCCGTTCGACTGCAAGTCGGACTATTACCTTGCTAATCAATACTGTACCCCAACCAATGACAGCGAGCCACACTGCTGAGTTATCACCCCGCTAAGAATCGAGAACGGCGATGACATTTCGACAATAAACGGCTCTAACGCGGGCTAACGAGCAACCATCGCGTCATGCATGACCACCGGCGATGAATACAGGACTCTTTAATGGAATTAGGCACATTGCTACATTACACCTGCATCCTAAAAGTAGTGGCCCCTGGCGGCCTCATTACTCTTATCTGCAACTATCTCTGATGATGAGTTCGAGCGAGAATCCGAAACGTCAGGCCACTAAACGCCATGTCCAAGCGATAGCACCTTCTTCTCCTTCTAGACTGCCTCCTGGAACTCGCCTGTTCGCTTCTGTCCGCATGTGAAGAAAACAACCAGCTGACCTTCCTGGATGACCTTGTTTGCCGCAAAGACGGTGGTGGCCTAAAAACTCAAGTGTTCAGGAAAGCAATCAACACTATGCAAGTCCTGAACTTCACCAGCAG